CAGATTAATCAATGCAGGCTTATTTTCACACTGGGATAATAATCATCTAGCTCCTTAACGAAAAGCGAGGATGTTCGTGTTCTGCAATCTACTTGAAGTACAGCACTCCAGTGCCCTGGATAAAATACAGCTCCCAATTTCTTTTTGCTTCCTTCCATTTCCAGACTGTGTATTAATATTATCCTCTTTGGATCCACACAGCTGCCATTTTAAATGCAGCTAACGAATGGATGCATAATTAGCTCTCTGGTTCATACATTAACTACATTTTAATAAACAACTCTTTTCTCTGAGAAGATAATATCGCTGTCCATTCATAGCTGTCAATCTCATAGAGAATGAAGAGAGTGTTTCTCATGTGAAGTCTTACTTGGGTAAGCTAATGCTTGGCTTGTAATTAAAATACATCCCCACTGAATTATAAACTATTCAGACATCTCCAAAATAATTTTAGTAATTCTGACTCAATTAGAAAATATTATAGCTTTAGAGAAACTCATTTTATATTTTTATTAATCATATATTTCATTATCTAAAAATAAATTCACTCTAAAAATATAATAAATGTTAGTTTAATAAAATAAATCTGATAACACACTAAATATTAGATGGCATTTAACTCCAATATATTTAAGTATTTAGTTATATTTAAATATTAGTATTATAGTGTTACAAAAAAAGCATTTAACATTTCATGTTACCTGCAAATATATAATTTATATTTCTAATTTCAACAATGAACTGTGAACCACAAAGAGATAAACGTTCTTTTCTTCTGATGATATGCAAAATAAACAGTATAAAATGTAGGCCTAGAGTTGGGGGTCCCAGATTCTTGGGAATTTAACTGGGGAGAAGCACTTCAATCATCAATTTGTAAGTAGCCTGGGAAATGTTGCATTCTTAAAACTATGGAGTAAATCAGTAAATATTCAGATACCACATGCATGCAACACACACACACACATAACAACAACGACAACAACAGAATAATGGAATACATGCATTCCAAATGTCGACTAAAACACTCAAAGCACACTTCCAATGTATTAAGACTTTGAATGAAGAGCACATGGAAGGACTGGATATTTCTTTCTATTGATTTCAAACCAAGTGTGATCATGAAAAGAGATTCTATCTGTGGAATTTTTGAATCAAGGAAACCACTATCCTTCTGAGGAGCACTCTGATGCTCACAATGCTCTGGTTCTTTCTACCATCCTCATCAGGACATGGAGGCAACTGCGACAAATGACTGTTGCTTCCTTCCTCAACCTGCGTATCTCTCTATCTATCTTCCTGTCTCTGCTGCACTCTCTATGGCTAATTCCTGTCAGCTAGATGTTGGCTTTACCCGCTGGCCCAAGGTTGATTTATTTGACAGAGGGTTTCACAGTGTGATCAAGTATCTCACGACACTATAATTTGTAGTTATGCAAAAAAGAGTGCATCATTTTCAAATGATCATATAAAGAGTTAATTTTTATAATTCATGTGGAATACATTAAAGTTTACATTTAACATTGTATAATGCTAGTGATAGAGAAGAGACAGACAATACTTTTATATACCATGAGAAGAAAAAAAAATTAGCTTTTTAACTTGACATAGAAGATAATGGGTTTCATTATGACATCTTCATACATGATTGTCATTGGTTCCTTATGTAATCCCTTTCCTCCTCTCTTGGCCTCAACCCTTGCTGATCCTATTCTTTTCACCCTTCATCTGTTCCACTTAAGGTCTCTTCTTCCATTCTCATGGTTCCCTTTATAAATTTATGATCACATCTATAAACACACCTACACACACACACTTCAGAAGATAGGTGCTGTTTGACTTTCTGAGTTTAGTTTATTTCACTTCATATGCTGTTCTCCAGTTGCACCCATTTCCTGCAAATGCCATGATTTCATTGTCCTTTCCAGATCAATGAAACTCTGCTGCATATATTTGCAAACTTGTCCATTCTTCTACTGATTGATATCTTGCCTTTTTTTTCTTGCTTTTTTTTTTAAGCTGTTGTGAGTCTGGTAGCAATAACCTTGATGCCCAAGTGTCTCTACGGTAGGACTTAGAGTCCTTTGGATATACAGTCCCGAGTGAAATAAACTGAGCTATCTTATTTGCACTTTTCTGAGAAACCTCTTTACTATTTCAATAGTGGCTAAACCAGCTTATGCTGCCACCAGCACCGAGTAAGGGTTCGTCTTTCCTCACATGCTCACCAGTGTTTTTTGTCAAATGTTTTCTTGATGTTATCCCTTCTGACAAGGGTGGAATGAAATTTTAAAGTATTTTCTATTTTCATCTTTCTGATGGTGAAGTAAGTTGATTAACTTTTTTCATGTGTTTATTGGCTGCTTGTATTTCTTCTGAAAACAGTTTATTCATTTTATTGGTCCATTCCCTGATTGAATTTTGTTTCTCTTAGTACTTAATTTTTTCATCTCTTCACAAACCATCCTGTTGCACATCAACAAATGCAGCAGTGATTTCAGTGTATATGATTCCATAAAGAAAAGATGAGAGCTATTTTCGCCAGGCTGGCATACCAAATGTGAAAAATAATGACTACAATGAAAATCTCAAGATGTTTCATGAATGAAAATATATCTCCCCATCAGAAAAAAAAGCTCCAGGAAGATTTTCACTGTAGTATTAGCATCACTGAGAACAGCACTTACATTTCATAGCCATTTAATAAGCCTTTTTAAATGAGTAATGTTCTCTGACTATATCCAGATCTATACCAATTCTGAAAACTTGGTTTCTGAATCCTAGGTTCCAAACTCATAAAGATTATAATCTAATGCAACATGTATACAGTCATATATTTCTAACAAAAAACAACAGGAGCCATGGAAAAACAATATCTACTTTGTATATCATCAAAAAGCTAGTATCTAGGTGCAAAAAGTAAATTCTTAAAACACTAAGTTTGTATCTTTTCTCTTAGATGATCGTTTATTGAAATTCTCTCATGTTGCTTTTATACAAGCTGAGCTTCCACAGCACCCCGATGATGTCATCTATGATATCCTGATGGTGGCAGCCATCCATCCTCATTACTGCTTACATGTTGTGCAGTACCCCGGATCTCCTTAATATTTCCAGAACATTCTCTGGGTAAGACTAGTCCCACACCAGTCAGACAATGTTGACAATGTCATCAAAGTGGTATTTACACTGTGTTTAGTGTTTTTCTGCTGCTTCCTGTTTATTGGTGGTTCCTTGAGGACTTTGATGATCAGGGAAAAAGGCAGAAGGTGCAGCCCTAGCCTGGGTATGTCTGTTCTAAATGATGAGTTTGACTATTGTCCTCAGACCTTTCTAATCACTGGTTGCCTTGGCAATGTCACCACAGATGTTTTTTTGGGGACAGACCTAGAAGAGGAGACTTGGGGGTTATCATAGTTACTTTTCTATTCTGTGATAAGAAGCCATGACAGAGGCAATGCACAAGATGGGTTTAATTTGGGTTTATGAATTCAGAAGGTTAGAATACATGATATAGGAACAAAGGCATGGAGAACTACATGAAGAGCAGAGAACCTCATCTAGAAAGCAAATAGGAGACAGAGATTACACTGGGAATATCATGAGTCTTTTGAAACCTCAAAAGCTGTCCCCAGTGACATACCTCCTCTAACAAATCCATACCTCCCAATCTCAGTTTCCCGTCCCTCCTCTTCTCTAGTCTCCTTCATTTCTTCCCATCCTACCCACAATCTGCTATTTAAAGGGAGTAAAGCCTTCCTTGGGGGAGTCAATAAAGTCTGGCATAGTAAGTTGAGGTACAACCAGGCCTTTCCTCCCTTACATCAAGGCTGAGCAAGGTATCCCACCATAGGGAATGGATTTTAAAAGCAAGTTCATGTACCTGGGATAATTCCTGGTCCCACTGTCAGGGGCAACACAAACAGAATAAGCCACACAACTGTCATCCATATTCAGAGGGTCTAGTTCAGCCCTATGCAGGTTCTTTTAAACAGACTGAGAAATAACTCATGGAAACACCTTTATAATAGCCAAATAACATAAAATAACTTTGGGGTAACATTAACCAAACAAGTGAGAGACCTGTATGAGAACTTTAAGTCTTTGAAGAAGGAAATCTAGGAGGATATCACAAAATGGAAAGATCTCTAATGCTCTTGGATAAGTAGAATCAACATAGTAAAAACGGCAATCCTACCAAAAACAATCTACAGATTCAATGCAATGCCCATAAAAATCACAACACAATTCTTCACAGACCTCAAAAGAATAATTCTCAACTTCATATGGAGAAACAAACAAACAAAAAATCCAGGATCGCCAAAACAATCCTGTACAATAAAGGAACTTCTGGAGGCATCATCATCCATGACTTCAAGCTCTATGATAAAGCTATTATAATAGAAACAGCTTGGTATTGGCATAAAAAACAGACAGATGGATCAATGGAATAGAATTGAAGACTTTGACATTAATACACATAACTATGAACACCTGATTCTTGACAAAGATAAAAAGCCAAAACTGCACAATGGAAACAAGAAAGCATCTTCAACAAATGGTGCTGGCATAACTGGTTGTAGACACGCTAGAAAAATAAAAATACTTAAATGTAGATTTTACACACACACACACACACACACACACACACACACACACACACATATTTTGTGATGAAAGTAAAGACACAGTATTGAGGTTACATCAAATGCTGGTGCAATGGGCATGCTGAAACAGGGCAGCAATACTGACTGCTCACCTATGCTGCAGAAATGATCTATGATTGTGATTAATTTCTTTTCAAATTTTGATCAAAGTTGCTCTGTCCAATTTTCTGCACTAGTTCTGTAAGTCAAATCTTACTGTGGAATTACATAAATCAATGTAGCCAGTACTTCTGTGAAAAATGGAGCAGGGAGGTGGATATAGAAGTAATTTCTGAGTTGTCAGTGACAGATGGTAGTTCTGATCTTATAACCATAGTACGGAAAAGGTCTTACCGTAGCTGTCATAGGCATCCTCATTTACTCCATGACCATAGTCATAGTATTCAGGCACACTGCAACAGATTTAGACAGGAATCAATGATTCTGTAAACAGAAGAATCAGAACTAGAACTTTACAAGACATTCTAAGTCAAATGTGTGCTAAGGTAACTTCAGTAAACTTCAGGCATAAACACCATCATAAAAAATACTCAGTGAGAATAATGAAGACTATTGACAAGAAGTGCCTTGATTCTATATCTGTCTGTCTGTCTATTTATCTATCTATCTCTATCTGTCTGTCTATCTATCTATCTATCTCTATCATCAATCAATTCCTATCATCTATGCATTTACTATCTATCATCTATCTATCTATCTATCTATCTATCTATCTATCTATCTATCATCTATCTATCTATCCATTTATATATCTATAATCTATCAATCACCTGCCTATTTATTATTTATTTTGGTGCTGTTTCAGTTGGTCTTCACCTCCACCTTCCTATTTGATAAATTAAATTTCCTCTCATCACAAGTCTACGACTTCAAAAGTTGGTAAGAGGAAATATACAGAGTTTACTTTGAAAAAAAATGTTGCCATGCAGATTGATGATCTGATATATGGTATTTACTACTGGCAACATTGAAAATATGCATCATCTTTCCTAGCCTATAGACTTGCCAAATATTTAATCTGTTTACTTTCACTTAGTATTTCTACATTACATAAGTACGAAAATGTATTTTGTTTCTGTGCGCTTGTGTTGTTTCTTTTCAAAGGATCACAGTGTCTCCCTACTTGTGGTTGTTTTATTTGGCCCTAAAGTACCACTGTTTGACTCTCACAAACCTCATTTTAATAAGCTAGTTCCAGTAATTAGATGATGTGGGATTCCCCTCTGTATGCTATGAATATATCTTATTACCTTTGGTTAATAAAGAAGCTACATTGGCCTATGACAGGGCAGAGTATACCCAGGTGGGAAATCCAAATTGAGATATATAGGGAGAGTAGGCAGAGTCAAAGAAACTCCATGTAGCTCCTGAAGGAGAAAGACACCTGAGCCTTATTGGTAGGCCACAGTTTCACGGTGATGTATAGATTAATAGAAATAGTTTAATTGAAGCTATAAAAGCTAGGTAGAAATATGCCTAAGCTATTGGTCACACAGTGTTGTAATTAGTACAGTTTCTGTGTCATTATTAGGGTCTGGATGGCCGGGAAATGCATGAGCAGTCTCTGTTTACAATTAAATTTGTGATATTCTACATTGTGGAGAAGGTAGATATTTCTTTTACAAAAAAAAAAAAAAGGAAGGTCACATTTGATGATGAGATGATCTAATAATATAATACTTCTTGTCATCTCCTCTAAAATGGTCAGTCCTTTCCTTCCTAAGAAACTGAGTGACTCAATATTTTGTAGTGCCTTATATGACTGTGGCCGCACGCAGAGTGATACTACAAATTCATTGCACTTTTCGTGAAAGTAAATTCCCTTTCCTTTACCTCCACTGAATTTTCATGGTATGGTTAGAAATCTCACTGACTAATTCCACTTTGGACGACTCATGTTAGTGACAGTCTCACCAGCCAGAGTCTTTGAGTGGAGAGGTAGAATGGAGTGCACCCATCATTCCCTGTCAATTAGGAAACCGGCAAGCGCTCTCTGTGCCACCCACTCAACTGTGGGACATCTTTGATATGGAATTTTAACCCATACCACACATAATAAAGTCGACAATAAAAGAAATCCCATGATGGTTAACAAGCATTTAACAAATATTTGTTGAATGGATGAAAAAATGATAGAAAAAAAGGAAGTTAAGGATGAGAGCATTGTATTTCAGAATTCGGAATATAGGAGCATTTTTTTTTTCTGAAAGAGACTAGATATAGGAAGGACATTTGTTTGTGTTGAGAACAATGGAACAGAAATACACACACAAAAACAATTCACTCTTGTCATTTTTGATGTAAATGATTCTAGTTAAAATTTGTAACAAATTATTTGCTATTCTGATAAAGTTCTTGTCATTTAAAGTCCAATCATTCTTCGTTTATTTTCAAATATTTACTGATATTGTGGGTTTAAGTGGAAAGGTCACTAATTATATATTGTTTGATTAAATGATGAGAAAATTCAGATTTTGTGTATTTGCCCGCTCTGAGAAAAATTTTATCTAATGTGGCCACAACAGTAGTTAAGCTCTCGGTCACCAATAACAACATCATTTTAATTAGGACTTCTAAAATAATAGCTGTGTTGAGACACCTTACTCTCTATATTTTATAAAATATGAGATACAAGTTAATCAATTGACAATTGAGTAACAAGGCAGTGTTAATGCTGAAGTCATTGGTCCTTTTTGACCTCAACATGACTAAATAACAGGATACGGGAAAGAAACATAATGACACATATAGTAATTTTATAAAATATTAAAATAAAATTATAAACATAACATTATATTATGCTTAAGGTCAATTGAAAATTTTATTTTATTTTTTGTTTTAAATATATATGAAATATGTATATATATAATATATATAGAATACAGCATGGTGTTTTGATATTTACAAATAGAATAGTGATTGATATAATTAAGCAAATTAAATTGTTAAGAATAATGAAATAATATGAAAATCATACTTAGAGATTTATAAAATTGATGCAACTACACTTATAATTTAGGAAGTTATTCTCACCTGTTTTCCTACATCTACTCTGCAATATTGATTTCTTGTAGTGACAGAAATATGTGAAGCAAAATTATTGGACATAGGTGAATTTTCATCCTAGCACCCAACCTCAAATTACCAATTGAATTTTCTTTTATTTCCATATTCATTTATAGATGCTCAATTTTTTCTGATAAATTCCATCAGCTCTGTGAAAATCCCTGTTTACAAAGCCGTAAAGATTTAGCTCAGGTTAATGAGTACAGCACACAGGTCTTTGTGTCCTTCAGTAGCATTCAAAATGTTAATTGATCCTTACTGGCATGGAGAAAGGGGAGACTGTATCAGATATCTCATCAGCTTTTGTGTGTGTGTGTGTGTGTGTGTGTGTGTGTGTGTGTGTGTTAGCCTCCTGGTTCTGATGGTTAGCCCTGAGTGTTCTCTAGTCAGGGAAAGCTTCTGTTATTTCTAGTAATAAAAATAAAATTCTCTAGCACAGCATCAAATTGTGGAAATGTATACCTATTTCAAAACCTATTTGCTAGGAGAATTTAAGCAATGATTCCATGTGTCTATTACTTGTATTTTCCCTCAGAAACCATCAGTATGTGTCCCTCCTCACTCATCTCCCAAAGTATTCTTTCATGTTCATTATCCCCAGCTGTGCAGAGTAATGATATAATGACCATATAGTCACAATAATAGCAAAACAAAAGCCTGGCAGCTACATATAGATAAATACATTTTGTCTATTTTGCAAAATATCATAATAAAAATCAAATGGAAGAGACTGAAAATACTGTGGTGGGAATAACAGTGTAGCAGAAAACCAATTAAGCAAGTATGAAATATTCTTTCCTTATTTTTTTCACTTACTGAATACTAAAATACTAATACTTATAATACTAATACTTCAGAGTTAGTAGGCATTGCCCAGGTCAGAAAGAACAAGGGAACCTTAAGGGAAATATTAGACATAATTCAGACCAGAGAAAGAGAGGCAGTTGCTGCTGCTTCAAAGTGTCCAGGGAGATAGTACTTGGAGCAGCCATCATGTTCAACATGGAGCAAGAAATGGGGACAGATCTTTAATAATTTGTGTTTGTTTGATGGTCAAGAGTCTAGATTTAATTATAGCAGCAAGTAAAGACATCATGTGTGAGAAAGACAGGAATACAGATGACAAGAAACAAATCATTTTGCTGTTTCATTGTGTAGAGAATATGAGACGGGAATCTCCCACTCAATGGTAACTCAACTGTGAGAGACAAAGTGTTCAGTTTCAAGGATGGCAAACGGTCAAACCTTCATTGTCTGACTTATGTGTAGAAAACTAAACATTTTTTAAAATATCATTTTATTATTTTAACCCACTGGTATGAGACAGAATATTTCAATGTAAAAGTTGAGAGATGATCTTTTATGTACATGCCATTTGAGGGCAATCATTTAGTCCCTTTGTACTCCAGGATCCATGCATTTATTGGTAATAATTTATAGCCCTCCAGTATTAAGGATATGACTTGTGATAACCCCATAAGTGTCTACTACATATCAGGTGCTCAACTGCTGGGAATAATGGGTGATTCTCCTACCAATGAACACATAGCCACATAGCTTCACTTTTAATATTCATAAAAGTTGACATGCCAAGGAGGTTTTCATCATGAAATATTCTGAAACATTAAATAGCTATATATGCCTCCCTAAGTTTCACTTGATGGTAATCAGTGTTCATAGGATGAAATATAGGCTGATTATTCATGAGGTAAGTGACATATTTGTTCTGCTCATAGATTAAAGATCAAGATAGATGATCTATATAAGGCATCCAGTGTAGAATTATTATCAGCTTGGCAATGATCTCCTTTGCATAAAATGGGTATTTTCAGAGTGCTGCACATCAAGCAATAGAGAAATGCATTTCTGCAAGTCACTATTTGGGGATGTTATACTATTCAAACATTTTTACAAATAAACTCCTATCATAGGCACTATTTTATCATTTATTCTCAATTTAGTTTATTATCTTTTGCTTGTTTTGACTCTTTATTGCATAACTAAAGGGTGAGAAATTTTATGAGGACATTAATTTTCTGTTAGTTATCATTGTAACAAGGCAATTATTTTCCAGAAACAGGACTATCAACTGACTGATTAATTAGGTTTCATGGCACATGGCACTGTTAAATGAACTGTTACATGCATTTGGTACAAACTCGTAGATGTTACTCAATCCTAGTTTGACTTAAACTGTATACACAGATTTTTGTTTGATTCATAATTTATGTATGTCAATAGGATTTCAGTGCTGTAAACATTAGTATGATATCTACTTAGTTAAATAGGATAGGAACAGTGGTTCAAATGACATTGGCCCAATAAT